AGGGAAGGGAAGGGAAGGGAAGGGAAGGGAAGGGAAGGGAAGGGAAGGGAAGGGAAACAGAGGCCTGCACATTCTGCTGTCTCCTTCAGGGATTCGGGGTCTCCCCTGGAAGCCTGCAGCCCACCGGTGTGGGTCTCAAGAGCAGCAAAGCGCCCCGAGAGGTCACGTCAGTCACCGAAAACATGCTCTCGCACCATCGGGACCCGCGGGCTCACCTCACCGGGCTCTTGTTGAATGCGGTGTGCCCTGTGGTGCCCGCCAGCGGCCTGCTGTCCGGGAGTGTCTCCTCCCCACCCACACACCACCGGGCCAGACAAGGCCTTATATGGCTGGGTCTGGATGAGGTGAGCGTGTGGCCGAGCCCCGGGGGCTGGTACAAGGAAGGACATCTGGGAAGGCTAAGGGCTCTCCCAGGAACCGCAACTAAGAGACAGAAGCTCCCGTTTCAATGTTGTTGGGCGCTGGAACCATAACGTCCTAAGGAGATGGGGCAGGACGTGGCATCACGGGGCCCCGAGGTCACCTTGTAACCTGAAGTCAGGGGGAACAGAAGCCCAGCCTGGAGGAGGAGGGAGAACAGGGCAGAAGAACAGAGAGGAGGAGGAAGAGCAAACAGGGGCGGGGAAGGAGAGAAGAGAAAGTTCTAGGCCCGGCATCTGGGTGGCACCTGGGGACTGCCTGCACGCGGCGAGGCCCGGCTGGAGCCCCTACAGCTGGCTTCGGGTGATATCCCTACGTCCTGTGTCCACCTGCCTTTGGGCGTGTTTCTGTTCCTTCTAGACAAGCACTCCCAGACTCTGACCGCAACCAAAGTCCCAAGGGGCCGATGTGTGTACCCAAAAGCTAACTCCGCAGAAGCACGTCCATTAAGGAGAGGGAAGGCTGGCCTCGCTGACCCAAGTGTTTTTTCGAGGGGGCAAGTCCACGCGGGAAGGGAAAAGGAGCTCACAACACTGCCTGGCCCCACGACATCAGAGCAGAGGGAGACTGAAGTTGCTGTATCCCGGCTGCAGTGAGGCTCAGGGAACCACTGCTCCCTTTACCCTGCACGCCTCCTCCGGGCTTAGCTACTCTTTCCAGCACTACTGTGCAACTTACGAAAGAGGCATCTATCCAGGCAGAACAGTTGAGAAGTTAGAAAAAGGTGCCCTCTCTTGGCAAATGTGGCCCTGAGGTATATGGTTTGGCAAGAGGCTGCATCTCGGGCCCTGCTCCCCACCGAGGCTGGGTGCCTTTGAGCAGTGCACGGACTGCACAGCTGTACAATGGCAGCCCTGCCCGTAACACAGAGCACTTCATTAACAACTGAAATTTATATGCCCCCTGGATTTGGCTTCTTTCTCCTCTGGTCCCTGTTGGAGAAATACTGTCAATTTCTTTTCAAGCTTTTTTTCTGTCCCACGGACCATTCCAAACCCTGATAAATTACTGCATAATTAGGTAATTCCATTGATGGGTTCCACCTAAACCTCTCTAGTGTTTGGTTTGGAAGGCTGCCTACCATTAGGGGGTTGTTGGGTTTACATGATCTCATCCATTGTGCACTGGGTTTTCTAAAAGTAATGGCCAGAAGTCTGGGGTTTTCTCACAGTTGCCTCTCTGTCTCCCCCCCCCCCCCATTTCCTAACATGTCATTGATTTCAAGGGTATGCTGGGTGCACACAACATCCTCACCGTGCCACCTAAAGATCTGGCAAGAGGAACTACCCCTGAGGAAGAGTGAAAACACGGATGGCAGCGGAAAGCCTCGGGAGCACTGGAAGAAGAGGGAGGTCCAGCGATCGGGGAGAGGTGCTCCACAAGGGAAGTGCTGGGTGGGGCTGCTCCGGGGTTCCGACACGTGCCTAGAGACGACCTAGAGAGAAACGCTGGGAGGGTCCCAGGCTTGGAAGAGTGTCTCTTGGACCTGGGGACTCTGTCCCTGAGACGGACTGTCAAACACAAGCAAGGGCATGAGGTGATGCCCGGGCTGACTCTATTGTGTACAAATGAAAACCCTTCCAGAAGCGAACGGACTGTGGATGGGGCTGGGGCTGAGGAGCAGGTGGCCATCCCAGCCCCAGCCTTCAGAGGGCACTGGCCACCAGGCACAGCAGGCCTGGAGACCTGAGACCCACGGGGCCCTCTCCAGGATTTCCCACCCCACCGAGGCCCGAGGGAGCACCTGCTTTGTCAATGGCTCTCAGGCCTGGCCTCGTTCTCCCCGAGTACCTAGAAGGGACCGATGGGCCATTCTCACCTGTGAGATCTACTTCCTCTCTCTGTAGATATTGTCCAGACGACAGGCGGAATGTCTGCCCCTTGATAAGGCCTTGGGCCAGCAGCTTATGAAAAGGCTCTCTGAGAAAAGATAAAAGGAAAAGAAATCGATTGGTAGGGATTTGAAGCATCCAAAAGACAGCAATAGAAGCCTTTCCGGCTATTGGATAGAGACAACTGCTCTTCATAAAAGCAGGTAGTCTGGCCAATGCCACTTGGAAATCCAACTGGAGCAAACAGCTCCTTATAAAGAAGTGACTGAGAACATGAAGTCAGATCGGCAGGTGTTAGCTACTTTCCACTTGTCGAAGTGGAAAGAACACTAGGCTTCAGATTCGGAAGGCCTGGATTTGAATCTCTTTCCTCCTCAATGAATTCTATGAGCCAAGGCAAGTCCCTTACTTGTTCTTAACATCAGTTTGCTTATCTGAAAAGTGGAAACACTAAAAATCTGTCAAAGGCTTGTTGGTAAGATTACAGTAAATGATTGCATGAAAATACTTGTAAATTTTATTTTATTTTTAAATTTGCTGCAGTTCTTTTTAAAAAATTTTTTTAATGTATATTTGTATTTGAGAGAGAGAAAGAGAAAGAGAGAGCACAAGCAGGGGAGGGGCAGAGAGAGAGGAAGACAGAGTCCAAAAGGCTCTGAGCTGTCAGCACACAGCCCGACACGAGGCTCGAACCCATGAGCTGTGAGATCATGACCTGAGCTGAAGTCAGACGCTCAGCCGACTGAGCCACCCAGGGGCTCTACCCCCTCCCCTGGCTTTTTTTTTTTTTTTTTAAGTTTATTTATTTATTCTGAGAGAGACAGAGAGAGTACGCAAGCAGGGGAGGGGCAGAGAGAGACGAGAACAGAAGATCCAAAGCAGGCTCCGCGCTGACAGCAGAGGGGCCTGATACGGAGCTCGAATTCACGAACCGTGAGATCATGACCTGAGCCGAAGACCGACACTTAGCTGACTGAGCCACCCAGGTACCCCGATACTTGGAAATTTTAAAGAACCACACTAATGTCAGCTACAGGCCGAGTCCAGCGTCAGGAGGGGCTCGAGAGGACACAGGGAGGTTTAAGTCGGGGCTCTGCTAAAGCAGGCTGCTTTTCCATCAACCTTGTACACAGTGACCGCTTGCATTCTTAAAAAAAAACAAACACTGACTCCTACAGATTAACCACGCATATAGACTTTCTGTTCAAACTCAAACATGAACCTCCTCTTTTTAGGCCTACCCCCCTCTGAGGAGGTGGTTGTTATTAATAGCATGGTAAATACACCTGGAAACGTCTGGAAACTTTTCTGAATGCCTATGTGTGTATATACATATATATAGTTTTGTATAATTTTGGCAGATTTAAATAGATCATAATTCACATATATGACTCTGGTATTTCATTTAACTATATGAATGGATTTTCCACAACAGTCCATATAGACCTATCTCAGTTTTTTTTCCTTTTGCAATTGTTTTCACTTTTTTTTTGTTTTATTATTATTATTATTATTTATATAATTTATTGTCAAGTTGGCTAACATACAGTGTATATACAGCGTGCTCTAGGTTTTGGGGGGTAGATTCCCATGATTCATCGCTTACATACAACACCCAGCGCTCATCCCAACAAGTGCCCTCCTCGATGCCCATCACCTATCTCACCACCCCCTACCCCCATCAACGCCCTGGAAAACAGTCTGGAGGTTCCTCAACAAATTAAAAATAGAACCTGCTACGACCCAGCAGTAGCGCTACTAGGAATTTATTCAAAGGATGCAGGAGTGCAGATTCATTAGGGTACACGTACCCCAATGTTTACAGCAGAGCTTTCATCAATAGTCAAATTATGGAAAGAGGCTCAGTTTTTTTTCAACGTTTATTTATTTTTAGGACAGAGAGACAGAACATGAACGGGGGAGGGGCAGAGAGAGAGGGAGACACAGAATCGGAAACAGGCTCCAGGCTCCGAGCCATCAGCCCAGAGCCCGACGCGGGGCTCGAACTCACGGACCGCGAGATCGTGACCTGGCTGAAGTCGGACGCTTAACCGACTGCACCACCCAGGCGCCCCAAGGCTCAGTTTTTTTAATGTTTATTTTTGAGAGAGAGAGAGAGAGAGAGAGAGAGAAAAAGAGGCATGTGTGAGCGAGCAGGGGAGGGGCAGAGAGAGAGAGAGGGACAGAGGATCCGAAGCAGGCTCTAACAGCAGCAAGCCCAATGCAGGGCTCAAACTCCCAAACCGTGAGATCATGACTTGGGCCGAAGTCAGGAACTCAACCGACTGAGCCACGCAGGCACCCCCAGACCTATCTCGGTTTTAAACGGCTCTCTAGTAGTCTGCGGTGCCCATGGGTTATAATTTGTTTATAGTGCCCGTTTTCTAAAAAATGGTTTCAGTCACTTTCACTGGATGAATCCTGCAATATAAACTTTTTCTCGGAAGGGGACAAGGAGAGGCTGACCCTTATACTGAAATGACGGGGAAATGACATGATTTCCGATTTGAAACGGTTTATTCTGAAGAATCCACCTGATTCCGTTGTAAAGCACGAGAGCGAGAGCTATTCCAAACTCCAAGAATGGTTTGCGGAGACATGTGCTGGTTAACGCGTGCGCGTTTCGTATCTGTTGAGAGGTAGGAACGTTTGGCGGGAGCCCCGTTCTTCCCAAGCATCGCCAGCAGCACGATGCACCTTTCAACAGACAAACCCGTTGCTGCTTCAAGGTCACTGACGCGAGGCGGCTGCTATTTAGAAGTTCAAAACAACCACACGACCTCAGAGGCCCAGCAGACTACAAGTGTTGTTCTGGTGTCGTAGGCAGGAGCTGGCTCGGCCAACTTAACAGGACCCTTGTTTCTCACACAAGGCCGTGGGACTTCGGTGACCCGTGATGCTGAGTAAGGCTGCTGGGCGGGCCCCTGGTTTGTATCTGTGTGGCGCTTGTCCAACGGCTGTGCGGACAGGTGCGGTTTAGGGGAAACGTGCCAGGGGATTCAGGGGGTAGCATGGGATAGACCGACCGGAAAAGAGATGAGGGCCGGTTCGGAAAAAGGGATTCTCAGCCTTCATATTTTAAAATCTTAGGAGTGTATATCGTGTATACACGCAGGCATACGCGAGGGTGGGGGTGGTGGTGGTGAGGGATTTTCTTATCCTTTTTTTTTTGCCCAACGCGGGCCTCGATTGCACAATGGTGAGATCGGACCCGGAATCAACAGCCGGACGCTCAACCAACCGAGCCACCCGGGCTCCCTGAGGTTTTTTTCCACGGTGGAAAAGACCCACTATGCATAACATTCAAGTCGAATGTTACACAATTGTGCAAATTATTCAGTGTTATTATTGAGCGTCACAGGGGCCATCCGGCATGCTCCCATGTGAATCTGGAACAAACCCCACATGTGCACAGAAGTCATCATATCATTGTCCAGCCTCTAAAACCCATCTTCATAATAGACCCATTCGACTCAGAAGGCTGCCTTCCTCCCACCACGCTCATGACATTCCACCGGCAAAGTCACATTGGCAGAAGGGCATCCTTTGGTGCCACAGTTCACGTCCCATCAAGACTCCTAGGAAACAGGAGTCTTTTGTACAGAAAAACAGGACAAATTATTTAACAATCAAATGCCCTTGGATCTTACACCGCATTTGAATAACTAAGCGCCTTGAAGGGAGAGCAGTAGTGTCTGCGGCTTCCCGGAACACCTGCACAAACGCCACAGGGACCTGTGTCCTCGGGCTACGCAGGCTTTATCTAGAGCAGGCCGGGGTTCTGATGCCCAAGGACCCACGTCTGCATTCTCCTCAGGAAGCTCAGAGAACCGCACCCCACAGACTGAGCGCGGGGTTTCCTCTGCCATCAGCCCTGTTTACCTGCCTGGTGTCTCTGACACTTTAAACCCACTTGCTTGTTCCTCGCAGAGGTCACGCGCACACTTGGCTGTCCCCAGAACGGGTCACACTCCCCAGGATCAGGTGCCCCCTGGCAGGAATGCTGTCTCAGCCTGCGTTCCCGGGGAAACCGGGACTCGCCCTGCACCTCTGAACTCAGGCATTCCGTTTTCTGGGTGGCCGCTTCTGTCCCCTGCACACGTCCCCAGGCCCTCGTTTGTATCCCGCGGCGTCTGGGACACACCACGTGAGAAGCGTGTCCGGGCTGTGCCGTGATTACAACGTAAAGACCAGTCCACATCCGGCCCTGTGCCCATCACGGTAAGGACTTTTGCTCCCTTGGTCTTCCCTCTGTCCCCCGCACTGAGTGCTGTGCCCAACAGGCAAGCTCAAAACAACAACAACAACAACAACAACAAAAGGAGACGTGGTGAAAACGTGGACGGGTGAATGAACGCATAAATATGCACATTCAGACAAAAGGACGGTGGGACGCAGGTGGAAGACGCGGGTGGCTGCTGTTGCTGGCTCTTGAAGGCATCTTTGCCTTCCATCCGATTCCAGGATTTTAACCCCATCCCATTCGCTCCGCGGCAACAGTTTTAAAACAAAATCAAGTCATATGGCCACTTTTTATCGGGCAGGTCAAGAAACAGACTGGACACAAACACATTCGAAAGCACCAGGCACACGGAGCCAGTATTCCCCAAGGAAGGGCTGCCCCCGCCAAGCTTCGCGGAGCATCGGTGGGGTCAACGGGGCCGATCTGTGCCTGCACTCAGGGTGCACCGGGTCACCTCTTAGGCTGGAACCTTCCTCAGATTAATTTTTCATGCTGCAGCCTCACAGGAAACAGAAACAAAACAAAAACAAACAGACCGTTGCTTTCTCTCCTCTGTGCCTGGTGCCAGTGGGATGAATTTCTGTTACTGTCTGCACAAGTTTTTGAGATTTTTCCTTTCCTTTCCCACTCTGAGTGCAACGGCTTTGGTAGCTCTTAGGGGAAATTAAAAATCAGGGTGGAAGGAGGGAGGGAATAATCTGGATCCCAAAGACAAAGCTGAGCAGTATGGTGAAAATCCACAGAGCTTTTAGCCTCCAGAGGGGGCCAGAGGGTGGGGGGGTGAGAACCCAGGAATCCTGCTCTGGCCTCTGCAGGTTATCAGGTGGCTCGATGCTGCCACCTTC